TCAGCTTCTTCTCAGTCTCATTTTTCTACCTTTCCTGTAATTCGCCGTGTGCTGCCGTGGCTCGCAGGAGACCAGGACTCACTGCAGAGGTTCTGGTAACGTCCCCTTCCCCTGTCCCCTACACACAGGTAATGGGGAAAAAAATAAGAACCAAGATACATCATGTACAGGTATGAGCACCCAATGATAAATGTAAATGTACTGTATACCTAAAATGTACCAATAAAATAATTTAAGGAAAAAAATATGATGCAGTAAAATCTAGCTGAAGGAACATTTCATACTTTTGATTACAGTGTTTTAATTTTTCATCCTAACTTACATGAATACAATGATTATTGAATTGTATAACAAGACATGGTACAAAGTGCTATACTTCCACCTGGTGGAGAGAAGAAAGAAAATGTGGGCCGCTGAATAAAGCAGCCTTTAAAAATAACAAAATCTTTTCAGCGTGTTATTTATTGCTTTTAAATTTTAATTATACAGGGGACTCTTAGTCTCCAAAGAAAAAGATAATACACAAAAAGAAGGTAGAGTTCTCTAATTCTTCCTGAGTCTTTTCATATCCATAGTGATTTCTAGGGAGATGCAGGGTTTAATTTTTTTCTATCTCACATCACCTAATTATTCCTAATTATTTTTATGACTAGACATTAAATTATAAATAAAACCAATATAATTAAACAGGTCTAGGAATGAAAAATACTGTATAAAAAATTTAGCTTCAAAAATCTCCACTTTATGCAGCAGAATCTTGTGACTATGCTCTAATAATAATTATAATAGCGAGCAGTTAAATAGCATTGTTCTATTTACATATAATCTGGACAAATATTCTATGAAGTAGGTGTTATTTTAAATTTAATCTATTTTTTAGTGGGTGTTATTTTTATCCAGTTACACAATGAGAAAACTAAAGTGCAGTAAAGCTACTATAGAATTAGAATCCAAGCTGTTAGATTCCAAAGATCACAATTTTAATCATTACTCTATACTGCCTCTCAGTTAATTCACAAGAATGTACAACTTAGGGCCAAGGATTTAGCTCAGTGGCACTGTGCCTGCCTCGCAAGTACAAGGTCCTGAGTTTGATTCCTAGTACAAAAAAAAAATAAAATGTACAACTTGAAGAACCATTTTATCTAAGTATTAGATACCTGTACCTGTAAAATTTCTAATGTTTCAAATGAGTATCCTTTTTTTTTTTGAAGCAGGGTTTCACTGTGTTGACTAGTTGGTCTTGAATTTGAGATCCTCCTATCTCCTGCCTAAAATGAGTATACTTTTCTTTGTGTGATATTGGGATCAAGCCTAGGGCCTTTCACACGCTGTGAGCATACCTTTTTTTTTTTTAAGAAAAATTCACTAATATTCAGATCATCTCACTGTGGAAAGAATTTATCTACTCTCACTTGCTACCATAAAAATATACAACAGGGGAATGTGGGAAAGTGATTATCAGCATATTATCAATACATATTTTAAAATGCTTTGTGATTTTTATTTTTTATTTTTTTCTTAAATTCTTTTATCGGTACATTTTAGGTATACAACACATTTACATTTCTCATTGGGAATTGTAACTTTACATGATGCATCTTGGTTCTTATTTAGCCCATTCCTAGACCTCCCTTCACTCCCTCCACCCTCCCCTATTTACAAAGACTTTATTTCCATTTTTCCATTTCTCATCATTTTTCCTTTCCCTTCTTTCCTTTCCCCTGTCCCTCCCACTACCCCTACCCATTTGGACCTTTTCTTCCTATTTTACATTTTTGATTATTCATTGTAATCATTGGTACATTTTAGGTATTCAATATAATGACATTCATCATTGGAAATTTGCACCTCTACATAATCTCTCTTGGCTTTTATTTTTCACCCTTGCCCAGCCTTCCCTTCAACCCCTCCATTCCTCCCTATTTACAAAGATTTTGTTCCTATTTTTCCATTTTCTCATATTAATCCC